TCAGAAAGACTTCCTTGGCTTAACAGCCTGAGCAGATAAACACTCCCCTGAGACCCTCTTCACTTTCTAAGCTGCTTCCTCCTCTCTGGCAGATACCCAAACAGCAGCTGGGTCAGGCAAACAGCAAATGTCACACCCTTGAAGAAAACCTGAGCTCTACTGAATAAAAATCATCCTGAATGAAGTTCTTGTGGGGTAAGAGGAGGAATTCCTGACTACTGCATGCTCTGGCATATACAAAGCAAATCTTGTTGTGCAGAGCCCTTCTCTAATTTTTTAACTCAACCCAAAATTCTATTGTTTCTTCTCCTGCACCAAACACATCTGAAACCCAGTATCAAAAGAAGGGGTATTCTTCATTGCAGTTGGGTGGGGGTTCTGGCCCCTAAACCTGAGGGGGCTGCCAGGGACATTCCTGTGACACAGTTTGCAAGTTTTGGTTTCATGTAACCAAACAAAACTCAGGCAAAGGATGCAAGTTTCAGTTTTGTGTGTTAAAATGCCTAAGTCACAATGACAAAACCCCCTATTCTATACTTATTCCAGTGCTCATTCACCCTGAAATTAAATCCTCTCTGTGTGTCTCTAGAGATAACACCCTGTAAGAACAGTATTTTTACACATGCTCCTTGGTCGCTCTGCATTCCTGAGTCCACAGACTGAATCTTTAGCTAAGTGATGTTGCTTCCAAGGGAGGATTTTTTCCCACATTTGGTGAAACAGAACTTACTAACACAACAACTGYAGACCACCAGAAAGCCCCACTGGACTTTCCTGAACTCACAGAATTTTACCCTGCAATTTATGAAATTTTCTTCAGCTAACTAAAGATGGTGTGGATGGCTCCCTGTCTTTCATACCACACTTTTTCTGGAAGTGCTTTTCTTGCTGAAAACATTATTTTTTAACACTTTGATTTCTAGTGGAGATTTTGCCTTGCAGTTCTAAAAACCTTTCTATCTTGCATGTAAAGGTTCTTAAATAATTCTGCATCGTTTTTCTGCCTGTGTTAATATAAAATCATTCCATCAGAGGCAGTGGCATGAGAGTTACGTGTTTTAAAAAGTTTTAGCTAAAAGCAAGGCATCCAACTTAAAATCCTAGATTATCATTAAAGGACTAGTTAAAAAAAAATAATAAAAAAAAAACCAACAAAAAAGAAGTGTAGTTCTCTTGGGAAAACATGGCCTTGGGCCATTTCACAGCTACAGGGTTTCCCTTCATTTTCTTCAAAAGTACTGAATGAAAATATTGTAAAATACCCAGCAAACAACCCACCCTTCAAAACCCCAACAAAATACCATGTGAGCATGAGGAGCAAAAGAGGGCAAAGAAGGGATCTTTGTTTAAAAAAGGTTGCTGTAGTCTCATAAAACAGAGAAAATGGCAACATCCATTAATTTCTTGCCCAACAGCTGTTCTAAGACTTGAAAYACAACAGATTTTGTCACAAGGAGCCTTCTGTCTCACAGGGGCTGTTTGGTCTCCAAAGACAGGAAAGTGTGACATGTGAAAGTAAGAACCAGCAGGATTATAAAACTGCAACTCACCTCTTGCTTCACTCAAAGATTACAATGGGACTGTAAATCTTGATAGCAGATTGATTTCTCCCTCTCTTGCAGGAGAAAGTAGATAAGGAAAGCCAGGCTAGATAATGCAGGAACTGCAGGGTTTATTAGATGCTTAGGAACCATGCTCTTCACTGACTGACTAGTTCATTCACCCCAAGAGAAAGTCACAGGTATCAGCAAAGAGCATTTAAGGCTCATATGGCTTTTGACACAAATTGGARCAGGTGACACTGCTTTTATCTGCTGGTTTGCTAAAGGATTTTGCAGCATGACAACTGCTCCGCAATGGGCGCAAACCAGAATATGAAAATAAAATTGCTCTTGTTCTTCACAAACAGAGGAATCAGATAGCTGGAAAGACTTTTCTTATTAGCCTGGTAAAAGTACTATTGTCATATTTTTTACAATTATAAGCAAACAATTGCTAGTATAGAAAGATTCTGGATCACAAAAAATTGCAGACAGACGTAGCACAGCCAATGCCACTCTCATGTTCAGCAGCTCAGAAAACAGAGGCTGTTTGCAGTGGTATAATCATGACTACCAGATACTCTGAAATCTTATTTAGTTTAGAGAAATTTAATAAAAGCTGCTGCTGAAGTAAAATGCCTTCCCTGATTACAGGAAGTTTCTAATACAAAAATAAAGTCTCTAAGCAATAGAAAAGGTAAGCACAGACAAGAATAAAAATGAAGGTCCTGTGTTTACTGTCAGATTTCAGTGTCAGCAACTCAGGTGTAGCTGAGGATAATTCTCCCCTCCAGAGAGGAGGAAAGGCTGACAAATTGTTTTTCTGTTGTTGTTCATCATCTCTTCCATTCATATCTTTGTAACAAAGTCAGCTGTTGCAATACTGAATGTGCAGAATGTCTGATTAATTAATGCTGGAGCACCTCTGCTGTATTGACATAACAATCACTGCAACTTCCCTGAAAAACTGGATAACAGAGTGAAATTGCAAATTTCTGCTTTCCTTGGCATATTGTTTACCAGAGAGATTTGCAAATATCAGTTTACTTGGAGTGTTTCAGAGAATAAATGGAAAAACGGTTACTACTACCTCTCCAAGGACCGAAATAATATTTTCCTAGTTAAAAGCTTTTCATGGAACATCTAACAAAATTTCCATAGCCAAGACATGAGCTGGATCATATACCCATAAATAATGCTGCCAAAAATGGTTGTTAAGAACACAGACTTCTGAAAACATTGAACTTTTACAAGCATTTAAGGTTTGGACAAAGCCTGAAATGAAGAGGCTGAAAATGGAGACACCTGATTTTTATACATTATAGGCCAAAAAGATTTGCTGTGATCATTTATACTAAACTCCCTGTAACACATCCCACAGGACTGTTCTCARGGTCATTGATCGGAAGAAATCAATTCCTTGTTGAAGTAGAGCATCTCTCTTAGAAAGATATCCAGCTCTGTTTTAAAGCTCATACAATTAATTGTTCTAACAAAGATGGGCATCGTGACTTTGTATTTGAACTTACTGAAGGTTTAAAACCACATWATTCATTTATATGCTGGACTGAAAACCTGTGAGATTGAGCTTCTTCTTCCAACCGCAGATTTCAGATCTCTTTGAAAAAGTATTTCCGTTTTTATTTGGTAAATCAAGTTGAGTTCCTACTGATTTGTTAGAAAGACAAAAGCAGAAAAGAGAAAGATGGGGGCAAAAAAAACAACAAGCTTCCCATCCATGGCCCTGCCTCATTTTAATACCACAGGAGTATTGTTTTAATCAGAAAATAAGTTCCATAAGGCCTCAAATGTCACAGGCCTTTGCAGATTTCTTGTAGGAATTCATAGTCATATTTTAGCTGTTTTGATTTGAAAAATATTTGACTAAGGAGAGAGGAAGAGCTGATTTGTTCCAGTTCCGTTCTTGCCCTCCATCTTTGTCATTGAACAGGAAGCACAGGCTTCCTGTTAATAATAATAATAAACAACATAATAATAAACAACAGAGCACAATAAACAACAGAGATAATAAACAACAGAGCACACTCACATTTGTCTGCATTGTTACATGTGCAACTTCAAAAACACGAGTGGAAACCTGCAATGCTGAGGCTTAAAACTTTACTTTGACCTCCTTAGACTCAAATGATTCTGCCATAAAGAAGTCTGAAAAATCCTTACTAAAAATCCAACATCTTTCACTTCCCTCTCAACTGTTTACAGCCTTTTTATCACTTCCATTACCAATAATTTTCTTTTGTGTACCCAAATACAATTCATACAATCCTGACAAGCCATGTAGTCACAAATAAACAAGAGTTGTGGTGAATCTTTCTCTGCTTGCTGCATCTCTTATGCTTGTGGTGACTTAGAACACAATGGATGTCAGAGTTGCCAGCAGAGACATCCTCAGGAAATAGGAGTGAAAAAAATTGCCCACTTAAAACATCAAAGATCATTCTGCTAAACTGAAGTACAAACCAACKGGATTTTTAATGGAGAACAGGTATCTGAATCAGGTTAACACAACTCTCCTCTTTCAGAATGGGATTTTCACAACATATTCCTAAATTTTGGCATCAGAATAAAAAAACTATCATTAAATATAGTTTGTACCAAACTATTCATCACTAGTTGAAATTCACAAAGTCCCAATCCAATAAAATGATGCAGTGCATGATGTCTGGAATTATTTGAGAACAGCTTTCCATTTGCCTGTTTCAAAGCTCATTTTACAAAGGGTACCAGTGGAAAGAAGTTGTCAGAATATGCTCTTTAGATCACGTGTACTCTATGGACTGCTTGCTGCAGGCCTGTTGAGAGACAGAAGGCCAAATCTATTGTCCTGGTTTCCGTTTGATAGCTTGTTTTAGGAGACAGAAGTGCATGACATAAATGCAGTATGTTAATATTACTTCCTATGAAAGAAGTTGATGGATGCAGAATTCAGAATTTGCAAATATTTTAAAAATAGGAAGATATTTCACCATATCRTAAGTGGAAAAGAAAAATAACAATGAGAATTAAGAAAAATGATAGGGTAAAAAAATCTCTTTACTATGAGGCAATGTAGAGTAGAACCTCCCTGAGAACTGGCTTTGTAGGAACCAAGAAATTGAACAGTTAAAGCAAAACAATAAACATAAATGATAGCTCAGAGCTTTATTTATCCAGTATCCACTCAGCAGCTTTAGGTTGTGATTTATCAGCTAGATTTGTTAAGAAATTTTATAACCATTGCTACTGTTTGTGTAACCCATAGAGAATAAGTTTTTGCACTTACCTTGTTATAGACAAGGAACAGCAGGATTAGGTTTTATTTTTCTGATGAAAAAGGGCCAAAAGTGTCCCAGCTAAATACAATCCTGGCACACCATTGCACAATCATCAATATTCATCTACCTGCTATTTCAAGTAAGCTCACAAAATGGTTAGTTAAAAACATAAAAAAAAAATCACCTGCAGAGCAATCGTGGTGTTCTTCGCAGGATATTTCCCCACCAGTCCTTGTTCTTTGCGTTTCTTGAATTTCCTAAAGTAGTCCTGTATCAGGAAGGTGGCATAGAACTTCCCCACGGTTACCTCATCATCTAAATGAACAGACCAGACAGATCTCTCCCAAGTCAGCACATTTATCAATAGCCTGTACACTCACATCTGATTTGGGGGGGAATGTGATGGGTGYAACGGGTACTATGCTTTCAGCTTACACCAATGGAGCCTGTGAGGGGCTCAAAAGCAATGTTTTAGCAAGCAGGCTGGGTTCAGTCAGTTGAGTGAACTCATCCTAATAAAGAAGAAAATACAATATTTTACCAAGACTCATGTACTTCCAAGTTTCCAACAAAACCATGAATATGTTTGTATATACATAGAAGCTGAAGTACAGGCTTTAGCTATTTGGAGTAAACAGATTAAATGAAATCTGCTATGTCTCACATACACTGATGCTCATAAGAGTGACACTGCCTACATCTCTTTTTTTTTTTTATAACTGCTGAGCCAAATTTGCTTGTCAGTGTACGTATTGTGTCAGTTCTGTAATGCTGAAAGGAATGAAAATAACTTCCATCGGTGAATTTAGTACAACTCAAACAATAGGCAAACAGCCAGGACAGTGAAATGTTGCATTTTCACAGAGTCACTGCTGTGAACAAAATCTAAATTTGAAMGTTTCCAAAGTTGCAAGGCAGGTGCTTTGTGAGGGCACCACCATCACCTGGTTCACAGCAGCTAAGAATGAATGTGCCATTTGAGCCCTTTGAATCATTCAGCTGGGCAGGTTTGATCTCTCAGTGACTAATGCTTGCCAGAAAACTRGGAATAGTTTTCTATTCAAAAACATTGCTTTTGTTGTCACACACTTTTCTCCCTAGAGTTATCTSACATGAAGTTCCCTTTCCCTTCCTGCTGTGCTGTCCAGTCTCTCCATGTTTTTCAGCACCCAGAGGTTGCCATTTACAGCAGGATTTCTGGTTCCTGCTGTACATAAAGGAGAGTTGGGCTGCTTTGGGCATCCACTGCTATTCTCTRCAGTCAACTGAACATGAAAATCTAACATGTCCAGACATGTTAACACACCTCTGTTAGAAATTAAGGGCTTTTTTTTTTTTTGACATTTGATTAAAACAGAGTGTCCATGTATCTTTGTTTTATCAATAAGTTGTGCCAATGTATCTCACTAAGGATAGTATTTATAGTACTATTTTTACCTGTAATTACTGGTTTTTCTAATTTAAATTGACTTTCTTCTTTTAGTGACTTGTTTTCACATTAAAAAAGGCATGGAGAATCCAATCCATGGACAAATAGGTTTAAATTAATTTTTACCCCTCTGATAAAATTTATCTTAAAATAAAACCTCTAACATGAAAAGTCAGCTCCTTTCATTATAATGTCTGAAATGGGCTGTATGAACGTGAGAAAGTACAACATCCTTTAACYACCATGGAAATGCACCCAGAATGCCTTCTCCTAGCAGTTTGTCTTTAARTATATCATACAGAAATAATTATAGTAATTGCTTCAAACGACATTGATTGGGAGACCAGTCTGTTGCAGGAAATAACTTAGCATATTAAAGAGCCTGCTCTGCCAACTCTGACAACTCCTCAAGGGTCAGAGTCCCCCCAGTTCCTATAGGAAAGGGGGAACCAGCAGGAAATATCAGGAACAGCTCACAAGGAAAGCTCATCAGTCTATGGATTCCACCTCAGCCACAAAAGGCATTTTAACTGATTCCTCTAATCTCATTAATAAACTTTTTGTGAACCTTAGCTTTGATGTTCACCTGCAATTTTCCTTTGCAGCTCTTGAGGAGACTAATGGTGAAATTATTATACAGCACATAATGTGAACTTGCCTTCCCTAGTTTAGACAAATCCACTGATCCTGAGTATAGCTCTGGTTTAACTCCCCAGACAAGCCTTTCCCCGCACTTTGTACTATTTAATTTCAAGTATTTCAACAAAACTTTTAAGGAGGTGAGTTAGCAAATGGCTCCTAGGAAGAACAAGCACATAGAAGTGACAGACTCGATAGAACAAACACTGCTGTGGGCTGCACTTGGAGCACATCAATGACACTGCACCACCACTGACTGTACCTGCGAGGACAACACCTGAAAGGGCAGCTGCAGAGATGGAGGGCCCTTATTGATCACTCTGCACACCCAGAAATCTTTTATTAAATCAGACAAATGCACTGCCAGCTTGCTGGACTGGCATGCCACAGTGTGTSTGTGTCCCCAAGGTGCCAGTGAGTGCCACGGGCACAGTCAGTGGTGCTGCAGACACGAGCACACAGCAACTGATGCCTCAAGGGGAGCCATCCTTGACTCTGCTTTTGGAGTAACACACACACAGCCAGATATAGACAGCTATGGGAAGGCAGCTAAGCATAACTGACCACAGAAGAGACAGATTGCTAATTACAATTAGTGACAGCAAAAGGAATCATTTCTAAAGGAAGCAGTTGGAAGAGGGCAAAAGGTACTAGGCAGGATTAAATGGATTTGTAGGTGGAGATTGGGAAATTTCGAGAATACAGGTGAGACTTTCTTGAGTTTATGTTTTTCTCTTACTCTCTAGTCTCATTCATTCATCAGACATTTGATTGGCATTCTATGTTTTTGCAAAAGAGTTTCATCTTTCTGTACTGAAAATGTATTGCTAACTATCAACAGTCTAAGTTATATTAATAAGTTATTTCATCAGTACCAAGAATTGACTGCTTATTTCTAGTGCATCTATTTCTAACCCAAGGGGGAATAAAAAAAAAACCTGCTATACTGATTATTCTCATTCTGCTCTGCAAGTAAGTGTTTTGGACACATGGCATACAAAGGAGCTGGAATTCAGTAATATCAGAACAAGTAATACTGGAGCAAACTACTGTAAACTGGACCTCTCAATAATTTTAAGTGCAAGTGATTTTAACAYACTGAATTTGGAAGCTTTGCTCATATATATGGAAGAGAATTTTTCATCTGCTAGGAAATTGTTATTATCAGCTGTCATTGGTGTTAATTCATAGACAATTTTCCATTGAATATTAAACATCAAAACTAATTTTAAGCACTAAGCTATTTTACACTCCTRTGGCATATGAGTGTAAAACAGCTGTATTCCTCTTTTTTTCTAGGTGGCTTACAATATTTTCAATTTTCAAGTAAATCCTAACAAGGTCCACAGAGGAACAAAGTAAACTGGAATAGAAAATWCATAAATATGCAGGATTTCCCAACACATTCCTATTTCTCCTGGATTGCAGAGGCCATACTGTTTCCTATGAATTGAGCACTTCCAGGTTTTCAGCCTTCTAGCTACCCTGAAGAGCTACATTTGCAGAATAAACATTAGCAATGAATTTTAGTAGAGCTGAAAATAAATACACAGCTTATATTCAGCAATGAAATGAAGCTGAGGAGTGAATTACTATGTGAGATTAGTTGTAGGAATGTAATCTGTACAGGTTCTTTGTCAGATCGATTTAGGCAGGCAGAGCTCGCTATTCTGAAGCATGCGTCTCTATTTCAATAAAAAATGTAGGGGAATCAAGTTGGCAAGAGGCAACRCTAATTCCATGCCACCACCCTAAAACAGAATTGCTTCAGAATATTCGGAAAGACTCATAGTTGAAAGGAACAGAGGCTGCAGAAAAAGCTCAAGCACAGAGTTACAACAATAACAAAGCGATTCATCTATGCCATGCAAGCACTTAGGTGTAAGGCTAAAAACAACAGAGTAGAACACAAAAGTTGTTTTAAACGTGCAGGATCAGTTTCCCTTTGGGGAATCAAATTGGCCAGATGTTTGCCTTCACCCCAACCATAATCCAGCAGCCACCACACCAACAGCAAGTGGCTCCTGCAGCCACAGAGCTGCTGCTCCTGGGTGATGCCAAGGGCAGTGCAGGCAGTGCTGCTCCTCTGCTGGCACTGAACATCCCCTCCCTGGGCCAGGGGCTGGATCTGAGCACACYTGGGGACTGCCATAACACTGGGAAGGTTCAATAAACAACGAGACTTATCAGGGGAATACAATGGATGTGAGGATTGGGTGTCTGCGTAAATATACCCTGGGCGTGGGTGAGAGTGTGACAGATCCTGCACCTTTAAAACTTGAAAAAGCAAGTAAAAAACAGTCACCTAAACCTCACTAGAGCGTATTAATAAAAATGTATATATTGAAAAAGGCTAAATATATATATCAGAATATATATATTTGCAAAGAGAGATATTGACATGTCATTTTAGGGCACATAGGAACATTTCATAAACGTGCCTTGTAGTTCTCACAAATGTCTGGTGCCATTAGAATTCAGATATCTCTTTAGATGGGCCACATTCAGATCTCAGTCTTATTGGCATAAATCTGAACCATTTCCATCATCTGTGGAATGGCTCTASTTTAAACTAGAATAACTGAGATAATTTAGCTTCTTGCTTTATTAATATAGCAAAAAAAAAATTATAAGCTGGCAATTTTTTTTTTTCTCCCAGATATATTCAACATATACAAGCAGATAAGCTATAATGTAGCACAGTACAAAACATGTTGTTTTGTTCAATGCATTGAAATCAAGCTAGTTTATTTTGCTGAATGATTTGAAATCAAGACTATATCTAGGTCTGATCAGGTAATTTTTTCAAGCAAGAAAATAAACATAATGTTTTCCTCTTCCTCTTTCTCTTTTTAAGTTTCTCTTATCAGTCCTATATGTATTATATACGGTACTAGGATATAACTTTCTCAATATTGATTTTGTTATTATTTGTTGTCCTTAAATCACATTACAATTGCAAAATTTAGCAGTTTTTTTTCTTTTGGTTCCTAACAATCTGGAAAGACCAACATGCACAGAGAGCAGCACACGGCAGAGTTTCTCGCACTGACCGCCAGCGGGAGGGACAACTTGGTCCAGCAATTTCATGCTGGTTTTCTTCCAGATTTTCTTTATGACTGCTCTGAGCTCCTCGTTGGCTTGCTCTAGGTTACCTGTGGCAATGAAATGGGAAAACAGAGGATGGCAATTATGTTTCAGCAAATTATCCTTTGTATATTAATTAGCTGTATACAATTAAAGACTGTGGTGGGATCCTCTGGGGCAAACCCAAGCTCTGTGATGGAGCAGACAATTCTGCAACAACTAAAGAGAAAAAAGGGCATAAACAGTGAGTTCCTGGTGCTTTCAAACCCAGCTCTGGAGCACTGCAGAGGGGAAATGTGACTTCCAGACCTCAGCCTCAGTCTGTCACTCCTTCTGCTTGAATTGTCCAGAAAGTGATGACTTGCTCTTTACAAACTTCTTCTCTCTTGATCCAAAGCTGAGCCTTCATTTACTTAATCACAGTAATTACTCAGTTGTACAGTCTTGAAAGTTCAAATAACTGAGCACTAAGCAGTCTTTCCTCTCTTGCAGTGCTCACCTAAACCACTGCAAWACCTGAGGGGGCTTAATCTAAGTTTGCTGTTGCCAATGGAACACGAATTCTGCTGAGAATAGCAGAAATGGAAACAAAAGCAGTTAAAGATAGAAAAAAAAAATTGAAAAATGTCTAAAAATGGAAAGAAAATTCTTTTAAACATACCACTACCTTGAAAAAACTTTCCCTCTGTAATGCAAATGACAGAAATCCATTCAACCCAGTCAGAAGCRGCCTTGACCAGACTGGGAATATTGCTTCCAAGTGTGCAAAAGTTGCAGTTGCACCACTGGGGGTTCCAAGGCACTGAATTAAAAGTGAGGAAAGAGCACCTTGGTTGGGCAGGAAAGGGAATTCATTAATTTCTTGCAGCGAGACCCCTGCTATGCCACTGCTGCACGTTTTTATTTGACCAGATGGAAACACAGAATAATTTCTGAGGTATCTTTGGCTCTGGCCTCACCAACCCTTTCACTTTCTAGCAAATCATTCCCAGCAACAGTGAACACAGTCCATGATAAAGCAAACCAGATCCAGTGAGACCAAGGCAGCCCTACTCATGTCCAACAAAAGAAATAAATTGTAACTTTTCCTCATWGTGCTTTCTGTCAAGGGCAGTAAAGGCTTTACAGTGAAGAACCTTACCTTCTGTTTTTATCTTTAGAGCAGTCCTAACCAAAGCAAATAAAGTAGCATTGAACATGACGGTTCCATCACTGTTTAGTGGCATATTCATGGCTACTARCCTCTGAAAAGGAGAAAAGGAAAACAAATTTTGATGCTGCTTTCTTTGGAAAAAAAATCTCCTGTGATGTTAATTTTTGAAAAGCTGATGAATTCAAAGAACAGTATTACTGAGAGGAATATAAATTATATAAGTTATCCAAAAAAGTTGAGTAATGGATGCTAGCACATAGACAGATACAATTTAGCTTTGAATGTGCCTCGTGATGCTCCATTCCMACCCAGTGTCATGGGTACATGTCAACTGACCTATTTATAAAATAGATAGAAAATTGATAAAATAGATATCTGTAAAACAGATATACAAGAAACCCAAATGACATCATGTTGTAACAATACTTTAATTAAAAAGGTCAATCTTATTCCCACTGAAATCACTAAAATCCCAATATTCCTGTTTCTGAAGTCCTCAAGTAATGTAATAATCATTCAATCACCTTTGTATTGCTTTTCAACTTTCACATTAAAATGCCATTAATCCTCCTCAAAATTTCACATTTTGCCTGACAGATTCTATATAAATTTAAATTCTCATTAATTTTCTGTCTTTTCACTCACTCTACATGTTCTATTACACACTATCATTCACTCCAGCTCAGTTTATCTCCTTCAGACAGAAACTCAGGTGGAACCCACCTTGCAGGCCACTCGGTGAGGGCACAATTTGCCAAAACCAAGCGGTGGCTGAATCCGTCTCAGCAGCGTCACCACGTCCAGGTGCTTTATCCTTCCCCTGGAACCAACACACAGTTACCAAAACATCAGTTACCAAAAATCAGTTACCAAAAATCCACTCCAAAAACACACCGTGTTCTGCTTTTTTTTTTTACCAAATAAATTTTATCAGAGAAATGATCTAACTTACTTTGCTTCAGGGTCATATTCTGACCATATTCTTTTGAATTCATCCAAATGATGGGGACCCAGGATGGACCAGTCACGTGTCAAATAATCAAAGTTATCCATGATGACAGCCACAAATAAGTTTATAATCTAAAAAAAGAAAGAAAGGTAATTAAGAACAATCCTCCTTGATTATTTTGGGGTTTTTTTTAATTCAATATGCAGTATGTTAAGAACTCAAGTAAATCAATAATTTTAGCAAATATCACAGAAAATATTTGCATTTTAACTAACTGGAAATCTACMAAATAATGACATGAAGAAAACAAGGTTCTATTTCAGAGCTGTCAATTTTTTGACAAAGGCCACAACATGGTTTTGTTTCTCTCCCTTGGTTTGCCAGATCCCACTATATTGAACTGTTGAATGGATCCAGCACACAAATAGGACCCAGTGTGTATCTCAGGAGACAGTTTCTCTAGCAGTAAGAKTAGATTTCATGACAACACATTTTGTTTACACAAGATGAAACAGAGCAGCTGAACATGTGTTTACAGCAGTTCACAGAATTTTGTTGGATCTCTCTCCTTTTGCAAGGAAATTATTACTGTGAACAGAACAAATCAACCAGCTATACAAGACACCTGCAATGAGGAAAAACATATTTCAATTATTATTTCATAGCAAATAATCCATTCKGCCACAGATTAGGGTGAAAGGTTATTGTTCACCTCTCATGTGCTGTGTGTGAGGACACTTGTAGAGACACAAATCCAGATTCTGCTAAGTTTAGACAAAAAAAACACCCTTACTAGTCAGTCAAAGGAACTGCAGCTCTGTTATTAATGAATATTTAATRGTACCATTGAGAAATGCATTAATTAAGAGCTATGAAAAGACTGAAATTAAGAGACTGCTGGCTCAGCTTTCAAACAATGACCATGCACATATGCTGTCAGAAGAAAATCTCACACAAGGAAATTTRGAATCATAGAATAGTTTGGGTTGGTAAGGACCTCTAAAGGTCATCTACCCCAGTTCTCTGCAATAAGCCAGGGTGTTTTGAACTGGATYAGGCTGCTCAGGGATCTGCACAACTTCACCTTGGATATTTTCAGGGATGGGGGTCATCTCCCACCCTTCTGGGCAACTTGTGCCAGTGTTTCACCACTCTCACTGTAAACATCATATAAAATACAGAATTTAAGACTCTGTATGCAAAAATAGAACCTTGCCATAATATTTTGGATATGTGATTTCTGCTCATTCTCTCAACCTACTACCCTTAATTCAGAAGAAAGCCAAAATGCCAAAGSTCATTGCTGTTAACAAGCCAAGGTAAACTCACCAGAAATGCACAGAGCATGTAAAAACTGATAAAATAAATGATGGCAAAATTGCTTCCACATGTGTATTCTTCCCCTGGATTATAATCAGATTCTGGATCGCAGCGCTTTCCAGGCAAACAGGCCAGCATGATTTCCTGCCAGGCTTCTCCAGTTGCACACCTTCAGAACATCACAGAGAGAAATTCAGCATTATTTGATCAAGAGGGATTCAAAATATCTTAATTTATTACATTCTGAGAAAGTGCTGGGAGCTGTATAGGCACAAATGCRAAGACAGACTGTGAACACTTCAGAGCAGTAACTAATTAAAGAGAAGCACAGAGAAGTTTTAGAAGTGACAAGCGCAATYTGACAGTGCAGACACATTTTATAGGGTAGACTAATGCACCACAGAGGCTTGCACAGAAAAATTTAAACCCCAAACTGCGATTTGCAAGGTAAATACTTATTGCAGTGAACTTACTGTGTACAAAAGCAGTGTTTATTTATGAAAATCTGTCATAAAATTTCAAAGTTCATATCTGTAAAAGATGAACCGTCCTCTGTGGTTGATAGCCTGTCTCTAATTTCTGCTATGGCATTTTTCACACAGTTGCACGAAGTCTGTGTACCGTCCGGTGATTTCAAATTTTTAAAAGATAATTCCATAATTAGGACATCCTTGGCTATTCATTACCTGGTTTCAAAGGCATAAAGTGACTTAGATCCTTTGGTCCCAGGTAAGGAATGTCCCAGCAGTTTTGCCAGCCAGGTGAACAACAATGCACAGGAGCTGAATTACAGAATCTCAGGCCCCTTCAGAGGCATCCCYGTGCCATGCCATGTATCTCCTTGTTCCAGGATATTTTGAAGCACTCCTGGCAAGTGTTTGCCTTCTTCTTAAATTCTTCACTGATGGAGACCCCATAATTCCCCCACATCAAGATTCAGCTACCTTTGCCATCAGGAAGCTTCTCCTACTGCTCCTCTGATATTTCCCTTCTGCAAGTTACACCCTTTAKCTTTTGTCAACTCCTCCACAAATGTAAAGAACATTTTATTTCTTTATGTTTGCAATTTTTCACTTCTTCAACCTTCCACTCAAGTTGTACATCTACAGATTTCAGTAAGGGCAGATCCTTTTTCAGCTTTTCCCATACTGACAAAGATTGATACCTGTGCTGGTTGGGTTTGGGCTCTGCCTGAAGACAATTACTGCCCAAAGGAGGAGTTTAACAGCAGCTGTAATGAGTTCAGAACTGCCTCACCTCTTTAGAACTCTGCTGTGCCAAAGGACACCCATCACACAGCCAARAACAGGATGTGCAACATGGGCTTGGATTCTCACAAACACATTTTGAACATTTTTCAAAGCTCAATGAAATGGGATGCACTGAGTGAGAATTAAGGTTTACGCACCTGAAGAGAAGAAGCACAGCTTGGGGGAAAGTCTGAAAATTGTTGTTTCTGTTTATTTGATTGTTGTCCCTCATGGCCACTTTTCCAAACACCTACAATAAACCAGAATTTTTACTTTCATTCCAGTGACCTGTGCTGTCAGAGGTCTTGTAATCTAAACTTCCTTCAGGATGCATGAAATTTCACAAACACACTTTGATTACAYTTCACATTTTTCATGATAGTCATATAAGTGCAGTAAATTTATCATATATTCAAGGAAAGAAAAAAATAAACACCACACCAAGTTCTTCTCTTGTGTCTTCTTGAATTTCCTGATCATGAAAATCAGAGTCAAATAACGATTTTTTCCATTACTCTGAAAGCTCTGCTTTATACACAGCATCACTATCAAAGGAATATTTCAATAAGCAACTTAGGAAACAAGTCTCAGATAAATCTGTATTGTTGTTTAATACTAAAAAAATTCTCTAATTACCTGCATTCCAATGACAGCATAGATGAAGAACAGCATGGCTATCAGAAGGGCAACATAAGGCAGGGCCTGAAAAAGGACAGATGCATTTTCTTTTAATAATTTCACACCACGATTTCTATTTCYATTTGCAAAAATAATTTTCCTGTTTTACACAGACTTTTCCAAGGTTTTCTTCCTATGCAAGTGCTTAAATTGTTATTACYTGTCACTCTTAATACTCTGCTGCATGCAATGAACACCAGCTTCACTGTGTTTTAMATTATTTCTGCCAGCAATCCAGAGGGAAGGATCATCTTTAGTGTTTTTAATTTTATTTTCATTACTGATTCTGACAACACAAAGACACTTCGTTCTATACAGTTACAGAGTTTCATTAACTTCACATTTATCAGTTTTCAGGAGCAATGATTCAAGTATCTATTACATTTATGAAAGTGGTTTTACATAAAATATGGGTAAAATTCTTCTTTTCTAGGCATCTAATAAAGTGTGTGAAAGTGTGAGATTGATGTATGTCAAACCTATCCTATCTCTCTTAAATATACCAAATATTTTTTCAGGAAGCACCATAGAAATTTCAGTGACAGCTAATATTAAGTGACAAAGAATGACCCTCAGACTCACAGAAGTAACTGGCAAAGTTATTTTTGYATTAGTAYGCAAAYATATTTAAATATGTCAYTATTGATAATATTAACTAAAAAAAMCCTTTTTCRCACTCTATGGGGCATTRCTTCCYAAAATGYRGTRTATAAATGGTTGCAATTATAAARCAAATTTMAATAAATTGWGCTAACCTGAAATGACTTGATAAAYGTCCACAGCAATGTTCTGATYCCTTCCCCTCTGCTCAGCAGCTTCACCAACCTCATCACACGGAAGAGACGGAAAAAGGTGATGGAGATCCGGGCGCTGTCTTCAGAGTTCTGGAGGGCATCACGGACAAGTCAAACCAAATACAAACCCAAACATGCAACACTTCCAGCAAAACAACATAAAATGCAAAGGTGGAAGAGGTAAGATTTGAAAATGYATCTTGAGGGCCTGTTCACCTCCATAACCATGATATGAAAGGGAAAATCACATGCTGAAAACACAGGACCTGCAGAAATGCTTCACACAACACATGCATTTCCAAGTTTTCTGGTTGTTAATAGGATCATTCTGGGTTTGTTTGTAGTAGACTTCAATAGAACACTGACAATGGATGCAAACCACTGCATAACACCTTTGCAGTAAGACAGGTATGAAAAATACAGAAAAACTTGGTGGAAAAAAGACATGGTAAAAAGAATAAACTCAAGTGTAGGTAAAACCACTGGGGTCACTTTACTGATCTTACCCCAGACTCATCAGTTGTGACTGTTTCAGTTGGCTTTGGCTTTAAGAAATTAAGAACATTAAATATTAAAATCAAATAAAAGATTAAAAAAACTCAGCTTAACCATAAACAAAATGAAGAACATTTTTAATTTCTAAATGCAAATTAACATCTTTCAACTCAATATACACCCTGAACAAGACATTAATATCTTTATTAAAACCATCCTCTTGTCATTTCATGTTAGCTGACTCATGCTAAAACATTTTTGGCTGACTCATAATAAAATCTGCTGGTGTCAAACATGTTTAAAWGATAATAGAAAGTAAACGCAAAATAAAATATCTACTCCTATCTAGGCCAAACAAAATTAGCCATTAATTTTCACAGATTGTATGAAATTATAGCAGGAAGCCCAAGTAAAATYCAGGAACAAAGCTTTGGGGTCAAACCAGCCTTTCAAGGTGTTTTTCTAGTGCTATGCCCTTTTGGAAGATGAATCATTCCATCACTGGAATCTAACCACAGTCAAGTAATCGTGTTTTATACCACACCAGGAGCTCCCTTGAAGCAAAGTTAATTCATTTGAGGTAACCCAGTGATGAACACTGGGTGTTGTGGTGCTTAACAAGGCMAGGTTTTGCCTCTGCCAAAGCGACAGAAATATTTTTAGCCCCATGCCCTGAAGGCTGACCCTTCCAGAGCTGTGCACATGAGGAGGCAATACTTGAACTCTCTCACCATAGCTGCTGTAAGATGATCAGGCATGGAGAAAGGGATCAGGATCTGATTGATCCTTTTGGGACAGAGCTGTGCAGCCCCAGGAGCTGCAGGGAGCAGAGGAACACACGACTGCCCGTGCACAGAGCCAAACTCTGTGTCCTGTGAAGAACATCTCACTTTTCTCCTTTTACTCTCTCTGTCTGACTTTGGAGAAACTTTTCTGAGAGCCTCAATGGTCACAAACTCTGCAGAGCTCAAAGCACCAATGTTCTGTGCTTGCTTGTGCGCCGATGGACTTGCAGCAGCTTCTCCCAAAATCAAATAGGAGCGATTTAAAAACATTAATAGCACTAGAAAAACTGGGATTCTGGATGTTAGACCCCAGTGATGGGTGTTGCCCTCCTGCCTAAAATATCCTCCTTTTAAAGGGGCACCTTTCATCAATTCCTGCCACACAGAGCAGCAATGAGCACGATGCCTGCCCAGCCACACCCAGTGGCACACTTCACCTGCTCAGATCTCAAATACTCTAGAAAAAACTTGAGCAGAAGGAAGGGAAAAGAGGAGCTGATTCTGTTGAAAATGTTATGCAAACATATTATAGGGGAAAAAAGCAACAAGAGGTAGTACTTGGTAAAATCAGATCATTATTAAAATTCTAATTGTTTTCTCAATTAATTTTTTTTCAAAATATATAAAATGTAAAGAGACCACAAGGGAAAAATGAGGTAAAAATAACTGTTTGCTCAACTACATACAATCTCCATATGGATTCATTACTGCCCCTCCCAGATATCAATATGAATGTTCTGAAACAAAGGGCTTTTAAACTGTATGAGGGATTATTACTAAATTTATGCATTAAATTAACCAAAACCTAGATGTCCTTATTAAACTTCAGCAAGCAGAGTATTTGTAAAACTGACTGTAACATCTAAACTTTCCAAGAACTTCTATAAAATAGACACAAAATCTGCTGCTAAGGAAAGACAACTACTTCATTAGAAACTCGCTGCATATTTCAACAACTTGAAATAAAATCATCAAAATATAATTAAGGAAAAACTCATTATCACAAACATCATAAATGTCAAAGTATCACAGATGATGGAAGCAGTCTTGCAAAGCTGCCTACCTAAATCAATCCCAAACCTGCACTAAGGCACACAGACCCACACTGCTACTGACTTTTTAGCATAGAAAAAAAAATCCTTTTGATCTGAAGCTTTAAAGAAAAAAGCTTTCATTACATCTTTGGCAGATGAAGCCTGAAATGTCATATTAATCTCTGGTGACYGACTCAGGTTGAGTTTGATACTGCCTTAAATACTGAGCAAATTACTTAATTTGCTTCAGTGTTTTATATCATCAAAAATTGAACATAGTATTTGACAGATAGAGATCAGATTAAATTACAGTATCATTAGAAACTGACRCTAAAAAAATTAAATAAAATGTTGGGGTTGGCAGTTGGAAATTTTTCCTACCGTGTTTCACAGGAGCAGGATGGGGCTCCAAATAATTTAGCACCAGTATTAGGATGGCAATAGATAATGGGATAGATAATACCAGAAAAAGGATACATTGGTCCTCCGTATTTCTATTTAATCACTTTTCCAAATGAAAAAATAATGAGTTTGTATTATGATTTGGTTGTGGGGAAATAAAAAAAAATCTCAAAAGGAAAAGGCAATAAAAAAAATTCTACATATAACTATCTTAATAATTACCTAATTCTTTTAAAAACACAGAGTTCAGATTACCCAAACTATGTGATCAGTTCTACTGGAGCTGCTCACCAATGATGATCCCCATTTTTTTTTGTCAGGAGGTCACTGAAGGTATTTGTGTTTGCACARTGGTGTGAGCCCAGCACTGCCCAACACAAACTCCCCTCACAAATCCCCCTTTCTCAGCTCTGTATTAAGAAATCCTAATTGCCTGTTTCTGATGGATGATCTGATACTGCTGGGGGCTGTTAGGATGTCATAGGCAAAAGATTACAAATTATGGATGCTGGAAAGTGTAGGCCAGTAATGAAAAATAAAAATACTCTCCACAAAAAGCAAATTTTATAGCACTATCAGAGTGGAGATAAATGTTAGAAACAAAGTATGAACATGAACTCCTGAGACAAGAGGAGCTTTTTTTCTACTGAACCTGAAAATATTCACCACTGGSCAAGTGTTTTGGGTTTGGCATTTAAGAGTGTATTTAATTTTTTATCCTCTGTGGCATTTACCTCTGATATAGAGCAGCTTATTTTATATTATTAACACCAATTATAATGAAGCTAATAGAGTGATATAGCACAAAATAAAACATTATTCATACTTATTTATAAAGGAAATGCTCATCTGGGAGACAAAGTYAGTTAATGGTTATGTGGGTCCATCCAGCATGAAGCAATGCTCAGATGTGGGAAACTGAGATGAAGATAAGACAATCTTCATCAACAATGACAGACAGACTGACAGGAACAGAGTCTGCTTCCTGCAGATAAGGGAAGAGCAGGCACTCCCCAAAGACAGCCTGATTTGCAGCATCAGGRACATTATGTGCATGTACACATGAAAGAAGGTGGCACATTCTGATTTTGTGCATGTGGGGAAAGCATCAGAATGGACTTGAGACTGAGGGGAGGCTGAGCAGAGATTGCCTCTGGGGATGATGTCTGCTGACAAGAATGCAAATAAAAATATTTCCTGTGGTCAGATCATCTACCTCCAGCCTCCTCTTTCCCCTCACCCTCCACCAATCATTCCAGTGCTTCTCAGTCCCAAATGCTTTGGGACTGGCTGGGCATTATTAGGATTTYCTTGCCCCTCAAGAGCTGGGACTGTGTGATTCTTAGGATGACAGGGGTGCTTCTGCCTGCTAAAATGGGTAATGRGCACAGAATAATGGACAGCTGCTGACACACCCTGCAATGGGGTGAAGGAGCAGACTGCCCTCATTGCCATGGGCCAGCTAAAATCAGAACCCAGCTCAGCCAAACACTTCACAATCATGTAATTCTGAGACATTTCTTAAATACTGTGAACAGTAATACATGATTTTTCTTTTTTTTTACTAAATCAAAGTGCAACAGAACGGTTTTCTTCCTTAAACAGTCCCAACCCACTGGCTCACTGGTTAAAATGTTTGCAACCTGCTACCAATTTTGGTCAAGTACTAAAGTTGCTTATGAAAAATTTAGCACATTTCCTAAACAGGAACTCCTTGTTACACTCTCCATATCGCAACAAATGTTCAAAATAAACATCCTGACTAAAAAGAACTCCAGTGTCAAAACTGTGAACAGTGTGAAACAGATTGGATCATGCATTGGAAGCAAACTGTGCTTAAACAAAAAATAAACACAGTGAAAACCAGTGCTGTWAGTAAATGGAGTTGGTCAAATGCTTCTTTTTTACATATTGTGCCAAAGAGTCCAAGAGTATGTCAGAACAAATGACACAGGATGATAATGTCCTCATCACCACAATTACAGAAGGAAGCATCTGAATGACAAACAMATATGATGACAATAGCATATCTAGCAAAACATTCAGCTTGCCAAAACATCCCCAAAAATGTGAACTGTGAGTCCATGTGCATAAACACACACGATTTGCTCAGAGAACAATTTCTGCTATTCTGATGGGAGCAAGAAATTTTCTATGAAGTCTTATCAGAGCTCTCTGTGTTCCCTGTTCAACAGGAAACAAATGCTCGTAAACATCAATTAAGAAAAATTTTAAGTCAATGTGAGAAACCCCCGAGAGGATTTTTTAAAAGTGCCTTTCTTCTTGTAAAAGATGTACTTAAACTCTGATTTTACAATCAACATGATGGTGGCATAAGTTATTAAATGAAAACTAACAAATATTCTGTTGTACAATAAAATAAATAAATTATTACTGTTAACACYATGCAAGCAGCTCAGAAATTCATTTCTGGCTCCAAAATATTGCAACACTCTGGAGATTTGGTATTGCACTAARACTTCATACTAATGAAAGGGAAGCTGTATTAAAATTTAGTTTTCTGACCCACTCAAGTCTAAAAAGAGACATTTGCAAAAGTGTACAAAATTTATCAACAGTATTCAAAAATACAAATTACCAGCGCCAATACCTTAGTTTTAACTAAGAGGTGACATATGTGGGGTGCATAAAGTGCTACTCAAACTGAATTGGACTGCTCTTGTTTAAAGCTGAATCCCTTACAGGAGGTGGATATATGAAATTTTTGCTCTACTCCACACAAGCACAAGGTCAAGATTCAAGACAAGCAGGTTTTCCTGAGGGGCTCAGGAGGAAGACATAAATTTTGTTCTTTCAAGAACTATTCCAGCAGAAAACCTGACATTTATTTAATGCCAAGAATAAAATTAATGCCACAGAGAAGGCATCAACCATTTAGATAAAAGATRAGGAAAGTGAGCTCTCCATTATTTTCTTGACATTTTGGCAGCACATGAATGGTAAGAGAAACTTAAATAAAAAATGTGAATTAGAATCTTTGCAACCACTACTGCAAGGTGATCATGCTTCTAAGTCATCCAGTGTTGGTCATCCAAATGGCTTCTGAGCTGACAAATAAGATCATTTCTACACAGTCAGACCAGACTGAAAMCTGAATGTTATTCCCTTTTAACAGTTATTTACTCAGATTTTATTTCCAATTTATTTCTCTGTCATTCTCATAAGTTATATGTGTCCCTCTCCCAGATTGGACTGACCCAATCATTATTCTCCTTTTTTAATTGAAAAGGAACCATTTCTATGACCACACAAGATCCTGCATGTGAAAGTTTTTGAAAGCAAAAGGCCACAGAACCCAAAAGTAATTATATAGGTTTTAGTAGTGGTTTTAATTTCTTTTTGTTGCTATACCATATGTATATTTACTAATATATACTTGCCTCTAATAATTTCTAAAAATAAAATGAACATGAAAACCAATTAGGTTCATAAAAGAAGAAGGGATATTAAATGAAAGAGTAAATTAAAAAAAGGCAATTGCAGAAAACTTTTTATCASCAAAATATATGTTGCTCTGAGGTGGTTCATTTCTGGAGTTGATCCAATCCTTGGGAATGCTGAGCAATCCTGTAAATTGCTTAATATGTTAAAGACTGACTTCCACATGCACCAAAAATATTCAAACCACAGTAATTTCCTGGATTATGTGAGAATGGGAGGTTACTGGATCAGAAGRATCAGCCTCAGGGAAGCATATATATTATAAAACATTCAAAAAGTTAACAACAAAATTAAAAAGATGACATTTAATTTCCAGAACTTAATACTGAAACCAAGGTGATGTGCACCTAGACAGTCCAATTCATTCTCTTGTAAAAAAAAAAATGGGTCAGAAGGGACCTTGGTGTTCACTAGAAGAACTCAGTGGCCTTTGCAATGGATCCAAGCACACCCAGCCAGACTATCCCAACGCTGCTGAGCTGTTTCTGCAGCACGAGGCAATCCCAGAGTAATCCTACAGCAATGTTCAGCTCACACTGAGGACATGAAGCATTCACACTCTTGTCTCCTTTACACTGCTCCATTAAGATGGCTGTGGCCCCACAATCAGAACGGTGACAAGATGTGATTTKCTGTCAGTGCTGGTGATTTACCCTGCCACAAATCAGCCCTCAGTCAAGGCTGAGCTTCCTCAGCTCAAAAAGTTTCTACAGTGGGAATTTTCACAGGTGCTATTTCAATCCCATTGAAATYCCATTGGAAACAAAGTCTGATTTCAAAAAGCATCTCAGCAGAGCTGCAGATTTCCCAGGATCACTGTCAGTGTTGGATAACAAGTGCAGGTGGAATGGCACAATTCAGAATGCCAAAAAAATACTGAAGAAAAGATTCTAAAATATTGGATTTGGATTACAGAAATTTACACTAAACTAATCAAGTAGAAATAGTTCAGTAGAATCAAAACAATAAAAGTAATTAAAATCTGAGAAATTTCCCTGGACACTCTGCAGCATTAACTGTTTCATGTTGAAAATGGGAAATCAAGCCCAGAAGTACGTCAAAACCATAATACATTATTGACTTGCACAAACAAAGCACAGAAAAGTGGCAAGACCAGAAACAGACAGTGCTAAGTACACAAAGAGTCTGCTGTGCAAAACCAGAAGAAATGGAAGATGAGCATTTTTCCTCTAGTGAGTGTAACATGAAAACTAAGAAATGGCAGTGCTGGTTGTTTACTGTGGTGTGTGTTTACCTTGGAGATAATTTCTTGATCTCCAGAATATTTTCAAGACCACAATTGTGGGAATTGCTAAATGACAGTGAGAATTGCTAAAGGACAGTACTCTCCAGAGCAGTGAGCAGTTACAGCAGTGCTATCAAAGCAACACTGCCCATTCAGTGCTAAATTCAGAGACATCTGCTTTGGTCATGGAAATACAGCTGAGCTMTCTTTCAATCTCCACAATCAAATACATTTTGCAGTTATTGGAGAAAGCTAAATGATTAGCCTTTTTCTAAATGTTTGGTCTTTTTACTCTCCTCAAATACTATGCTCACCTACACCAGTGGAAAATGTGGGTAAATTGCAAGTACTTGAGCTGTAACTCTAAATTCAAACTGTCCTGGTSGGGAAACCCCCCTAAACTAAACAAAACAGAGGGGAAAACAGAAAAAAATAAGTCAGAGGCAGTTTTTAAAATGTGCTCCATGCAGAATAACTATACTCAAAGAAATGTCTCCAGAGGACACTGCAGTTCTGGGCCGAATGACCCTCCCTGTCAGCTCAAGCTCCTTCCTTCACAGAAAGATCCATCCCCACTGAGAACTGAGCATAATCTGCCTGAAATCTAAAGGTCAGGATTAAGTTCTTCTGTTCCTGTGTTCTCACATCACTGCTCCATTTTCTTTCCAGAAATYCAGTCAGCCATGAGATTCTCACAGTTTAACACAACATCAGGAAGCAATTTTAAGGTGATTCTGTGGTAGAAGCACCTATATATGCAATGGCCATCAGTCAAAATTCTGGTAAGAGATGGAGTTTTCCAAGTACTTAAAGAGTAATTCAAATTTCCAAACACTTACTGCAGAATATGAAAAGTAAAAGGAACAGGAAAAAAGGAAATATTTTATTATCCAAAGCATGGAAAGCCTTACATTCTATGTGCCCTTCTTCTGCTACCTCACGACATATGAATGCTAACACCCCTCTAAAAAACAAACCTCCCACAGAAAAAGAAATCATCATTTGTTAAACTCAGCCACTGAAAWCTTACAGAATCTTGAATTATCTTGGTCAAGTTACCTACAAAAATCAATGAGTTTCAAGTAAAATAGTAACATAAGCTTAATGTCTTCTTTTTAATATTTTCTGTGCATATATAGAAAAACAACTCTAATTGTCTCACTGTGCTGTATGCATGTGCAACTACACAAGTATATAAATAAATAATAGCAGCTTGTACAAACATCTGTATCAATGTTTTGGTCTTTGATTCCAGGATTAAACATACTTTTCTAAAAAAGGACTTTTTTGGGATTAAGTTTACATTTTCTCTATATCTTGATGACAGCAATTATTTTTTAGTGCATGAACAGTTGCTACTTACATTAACTTCTGTTATAGCAATATCAACGACGCTACCAACAACAATTAAGGCATCAAAAGTGTTCCATGCATCAGTGAAATAGTGCTGTTAGGACAAGCATTCAGCAGAAAGAGAGCAAGAGAGAAACACAAACAGAAAAAGAGAAGAAAAGGACAGTGTTATAACACAGAAACACTCTAGGCTTCTCTGATGTACCACTATACAATCTAAACTTTCCCTTTCATAGCTAAAAAAAAATTGGTAGAAAAAAAAGGCTATTTATTTCCCATATCAACATAATTGACCTATGACTGGTCTGTACTCAAACTTTAGAAACATCAGATCAAAATCTGTGACTTGTCCAGATGATGGAAATAGTGGGGAGACAGAGAAAGAGAAGTAGGGACCGGGGAAAGTAAGCTGGGATATACTCACATCAGCTTCACTGAGAACGACGTCTACTATGCTGCCAATAACGATGAGGGAGTCAAACGTATTCCAGGCATCACTAAAATAGCCCTGAACAGAGCAGGCAGGGTGCAAACGTTTGTGATTACACATGAAATGTCAAATATTTGCATACTTCTGTTTAGTTTTGCATAAACAGAAATTAGTTAAACAAAACCTGTGGTCTAATGAGAAAACAAAACAAAACAAAACCAAAAACAATATTGCCTACTGAAGGAAAAGCAACATATATGTGCATGTGTGTGTATATATATAATTATATATATACATGTACAGACACACACACGGACACACGCTACACATGCAGAACACACCGTCAGGTAAGCAYGATGTTGGCAAGCAAGCCATCATCCAAAATTGGTTTTGGACTTCTAGCAAGGCTGAAAAATTCTAATTTATATACTCTAATGAGGACAACATGACCCCTCTCAAAACATTTCTGTAAGACCAAGCCAATTGAAACCTCCTTAAGGTTAAGGATTGCATGATAGTCTTGTCTAAGTGACTGGGAAAAATATTCAAAGGGTCAAGTCTCATCACTGGCTAAAGGTGCACAGTTAKTAATGTGACACTGTGCATAAAGATTAGAGAACTGACTTAATCTTCAATTCATAAACTAGGTCTAGCACAGGAGCTCATCCTGCATTTGCAGAGGCTGATTCTGTGGCCAGTGAAGTCAATGCTGAGAACCACAGCACCCTGAACAATCTCTTAATGCTTTTGGTGCAGCCAGTCCAATGTCTGAAAACTCWTTTTCATAAATTTCTTCATCACCCTTCTGACTTTTTATGGCTTTGAATACATTCCCCACATATGTCTTACATGGCTGCAAAGGGTTATAAAGGGCTCTCATGCAATTAGCTGATTATTGCCATAGAACTGCATGTTTGAGCAAAAAGATTCTTCAGAAGTATCCTCCAGGTAGGTTCCACTGTGGAACAAATCAAGATGTATTACAATTGTTAAGATAACTCTATGGAGAGCAAGGTTTTCTGCAATATGTGGATTTTGACTAGTTATTATTGGAACCCAGAACTGCAAAAATTACTGAACTTGCCCTTTACCTCATTCAGATATATTAAGGTATCAGTCAACCAATGTGCATTTCATGACAAAAGCTGAAATGTACATTTTGTACATGTACATTTTTTTGGTAATTGATTTTAAAATATCAACTTTTCAGCCACTATTGAAGCTCTAAAATAATACATTTAGCAAGAAGTTTAAAATTACAAGCGTGYTAATCTAGCCTTATGTCTACTTATACTTTTGATTACACTGTTTGCTCTACAATAATGTTTTAGCTGAGTATTTTAAGTTATTACAYGAGTTGTTAGCAGAGAAAAGCATAATCAGTTCCAAAATATTTTAGAATTGAACTGATACTTTTCTCAACATTTCAATGTCAGAATTCCTAGTTATTTCACAGTTTAAAGTAATGCACCTGAGTGCATTACTACATGAATAAATGTTCATTTTTTTGTGGAAATTTGCTCTTGGAGACTATGAGAGAGCTGCTACAGCAAACAACAGCTCTACACATTTTATTCTTGGAGAGGAAGGACTGAGCAGGGTCAGGAAAGGCTCATTATGTTTCTAATGTTACTCTCTTTTAAAATACAAATTGCTACAATTATTCCTTTGTTTAAGGAAGGGGCTGTAAGAAGAAAACAGATCAGAGTATTTTTATCTCTACAGCCCTTTGCACCACATGCTCTGGTTCTTTGGTATTCACCATCAATTCCAGTTTTGGGGCAGAGCTCATGGGTTTGGCTCCTGAAGGAACACCTCCACTCCTGAGAGCTCTTGCACAATTCCCTTTTGCTCCCTCCTGACTCCTCCTGCTCCACGAGAATGAGCCATTCCCAAAGTTTACCAAGAATCACTCTGAACCACCCCAAAAACACTGAAATTGATAATCCTAACGAGAATAGCAGCTGCCAGCCAAAGAAAGCGAGCTACTCTCATCATGTTCTTCCTGATCATTCACATTCCTTATTTCTAATCTTCCTTGATTTYAGAATAATAATATTTTTAGATATATATACACAAAAAATAAGAGACTATTGGCAAACAGCAAACACATAATCAGCACAATCCTGAGCTGTGCTATCCATCTTCCTCTGCAATGGGAACCAAAAAAGGTCCTCCAAATAAAGGATAATTTCAGAATAAGTTACTTTACTAGACATGCTACAAGATAAAGCACTGAAATAAAAAAAAATCACATTTTGATTCAATACAGCTAAAACACTTTACAGCTAAAATATTTTACACATTTATTTATTTTATGAAACCTTTTCCATCAGTATAGACAAATATTGTTCAAAGTAATATGTAAAGCAAAAGCATACAAATAAAAAAACAAAACTAAGAGAAAATAAAGATGGTTTTGGAAAAGGGAGGAATGGACAAGTCACAGCAAATAAACATCATGCAAATAAGTTGTTTTCACCACTGCAAGGACCCAAGATCAATTCACTTACTAGCCATCTTTCCTTTTTTCTTACAAAAATCTGATGTAAAACGACATGGAAAATCATTACAAGTTTAAGCAACAACTGGCTACCAGGAAGCTGTACATACGGTATGTGCAGATGGRTTATTTTTGATCCCATAGCTGGACTTTGTTTTGAACGGCACTGAACCAKGCTGAGTAACAGAGTTTAGCAAATGTGAAGAAAAAGGCCTGTTCTTTTAGCTTATATTATGAAAAATGTGTTCATTGAGAAATGCTGAAGGACAAAATCACAAATCCTGGGGAATATGTAGGCATAGAGAATTAGCAACAAAAYAGGTTCACATACATCTACCACATAAGTATTTTAGTCCTTTTAGTACTCTCATGGAAAATTTAAGGCCTCATTCTCAAAGTCTTGTGTGATCCAATCTCCCAATCAAGTGTGCCAGATACACAGCATCGCCTTTAATATCTACACTTCTGCAGGTTTTATGTATTTCAGAGCTGCAAGGCAGTCTGCAGTGCCTTGGTTTTACACAACACAGTATCATAGGAAGAGTATCAATAATTTATAGTAGTCTGAAGTTTATATGACCAGCAAAACCAAAAGATCACCATTTTCACAAGATTTTTGTCAACATATTAAGGGGACACTGTCAAGCAGATGAGATAAAAACTAACAGGTTTTTATCTATTCTTATTTTTACAGAGTGGGTAATGGATTTTTTATTTGGTGCATTGAACACCTCTGAAATAATTTTTTAAATATTAATAAAACTGTTTATTCTGTCAGACTAGCCTAAGAGACCCACCCACCAGTGACACAGACAGAGAAGAAAGTAAGCAGTGTTCCCTCATGGACCCTAAAGCAAAACATTAAGTTTGGTTTCAGATTGTTCCTACTATTATTAAACCTCAATATGARTTAAAGCAATTAATTGTTGTTTTAAATATGTATCTATTTAAAAATTTAGTATAAAGACATTAAAATTCTGTATAAGTTTGCTAGCTGATTTGTGAGTATGARCTATGAAATGAACTAATGTAGTATGTGTTGCCAATAAGTTTTGTTAAAGAGTGTCTGATAATTTGAAAGTTTACAAGCTCCAAATAACAGGAACAACCTTAAATGTGCTTTATTCCCCTCCCTTCCTGCTAATTAGTMTCTTCCTAAAGTCTGATTACTATCATGGTCTTTAAACCTTGTTCCTGCTGGTTTAAGGTGTTCTGCATCTGGAGGGGACTGAAATTCCGGAAATGAGGACTTTCCACTGGCAATTTCTACCCTTCAAACTGTCAGGGTTCAGCTCCAGGGATCCCTCACAGCGAAAGCATCCAGTCAGGTAGAAAGCAYGTGGCAACAGAATTAAAGCTCAGATTGTACAGAGTCTGAGAGAGCAGTATTGAGACATTGCATTTGCTAACGAGTAGGAAGCCCACAGTACGAATGGAGCACTGTGATTTGTACACTCATGATCAGACCACTGTGCTTGGCATTAGCTGCTATTTCTGACTACAGTCACAAGTGCATGGAGAACCATACAAGGATTCACAATCTTCTTTCAAAAAGCAGATGATAAAATGCAGCAAAGTCTTCTGTGCAAAACAAGGATATAGAACAGGAAATACAGATCAGGAAACACAACCAGCATAGTCATGACACTGTGGTCTACACAGCTGAGCTATCTCCTCTGGGGCCTCCTGTTGTGCTATTTTTAATGTGAAACCCTTAGCATTTAAATAAGAGAGCTGACACAAAAATACAAATAAATTCATTAGAAATGTACATTGGACTGGACAGTGCAGAGCGAGACTACGGGAGAGCGGGTAAACATCCACCCGGRGCTGCACAGCTCACACCCCAACACCAGATCTCAAGGGATGGAGAATTTGTTCACTTCTGCAGGCAAACACGAGCTGGCTTTAAATCAAGCAGCTCAGGCTGTACAGCCGAGCTCAGTACTAAATGCAAGCTGAATTAATGGTTCTGAAAAGCTGGAAAGAAGTTGCAACCTGAGTTGTGAGCACAAGAACTCACTGGGTCAGAGCAGAACAGAGCTGCTCCACAGCAGCAAGGGCACAGCTCACAGTGTGCCCCACAGGCAGAGAGCTGGGCTGCTTTCATAGAAGAGTAGTGGAAAATGAAAAGTGCCAGCCTTGGATGGCGAGATCAGTAAACTTCAAATGGGAGATCTGGCTTTTTTCAAATTCCATGTATAGCACRTGAACACATTTAACTTATTTACATAGCCCAGAACAAACATTAGTTTCATTGTCCTGAAAACAAATTTAGTCTATTTTTTCATCATTAACTTCTTCACTTYATAAATGCACTGTCAGAACTGAACAAAAAGACTGCATTAGCTGCCACAGCATAATTTTATGGGGTTTTTTTTAATCACAGTTATCAGTTTCCCTTGCAAATGTAGTTTTGAAAATGTGTCTGCATCATTCACATTGACAGTGTCCCTTTAAGACAAGGAATCAACTACTCAGTGTGAGCTCTTCTACCAAATATGATGCATATATAACTGAAAACATAAAATCTAAAAATATTGAACATGCAAATTATTTCTGTGTATGTTTGTAATACTTGGCTGTAYTTTATAAAGTAAAGAAATTATTTTGCATTTTAGAATAGGAAATKATACAGGATACAGGTCTTTACTGGAGATTAAATTAGTGTAAATTAATGTACCATCCAGAACGAGAGATGTGCAATGCTTGTAACAGAAAATTATTTATGTGATATAAAAAGGGACATTTCATTACCTCAAAATATTCCAGATCTCATCAACTACTTTATAAGATTTTTTTCTGGTATCTGCAKTTTATTTCCTGGAATTACAATTCTATTATGATTTCTCTGATAGTGAAATGTGGGAAATGTTRATTCTTTTTGTTCTTTGAATATTATACATATAATAGTGTACTCATTAKACTTCATTTCTGTGGTGATGACCTAATTAAAGCATATCTTAAACTTACCTTGGGTTTGAATGCAATCACTTTCAAAACCATTTCAACAGTGAACACTCCTGTGAAAACCATRTTCATAATGTCCATCGCATCATTGAATAGCTTGGACTGTCCATAGTGCTGTGAATGAAAAATAAAATATTTACAGAATTAAAGGCTTTAAAATGTTAAGTTAAAGCAAGGCAGCCAAAGTTTACAAAAACACAGCATAGGAAAACATTTTCTTGTAAAATGTATGGACAACTATAGACATGGAAGATCAGCTGAATATCTCTGGTCAAGCATGGAACTCTTTAAATCTATTCTGTTTAGGGTGTGAGCAGAACAAAACTGTCATTCCGCGACATCCTAAGGGAATCTCCAGAGAGATGGCTTTGAAAGGAAAATTGTTCCYTCAAAAGAGTATCAGACAACAGCATTTTTCCAAGTTCTGTATGCAAGGTTTTAAAATTACACAGGYTTGTGTCACACCTGCTTAGAAAGCCTGAAGTATGGCAGTCACAAAATAACACGGTGTGTAGGAGGTACATTTTTTAAGAGGACACAGTGTATGCAAGTTTACGGAAAAAAAACCAGAATGGTTTAGTAAACTGAATTCAAGCCATTCTTTTTCTTATCAAAATCTGAAATACTAGGGAAAGAGACAACTAGAACACATCACAGCAAAGTACTACATTCAGAAGTGCTTTCTTCAAAATTCCCCTTCATAAAAAAATGCAGGTTGCCATAATTTAAAGGCATTACATCACCCACATCCTTTGCTGCAATTCATGCCAACAGCTTGAAGAGTTCCTGCTTTTCCTACCTGCATAGCCAAGCAGAGGGTGTTCAGCATGATGAGGACAAACATGATGTATTCAAACCCAGTSGAGTTCACCACATACCAGAACTTGTACTGGTAAGGGTTTTTGGGAATGTATCTACGGAGAGGACGTGCYTTCAGGGCGTACTCGACACACTGACGCTGCAAAGCAAAGACAGCAAAAATGGTTAGACTGGAACTCAGCACTTCAACTGATTATATAGTCAGTGAATGCAAATTGTTAAATACAACTATCAAAACAAGACAGTCTATCTCCTTGATGCATGGCTTTTTATTATTAATTGTTAATAAAGTGAATAAGCAGCTCACCAGTCTTCACTTGATTATTTACAGCTCTATSTAACCATWTACACTACTCAGCCWSGTGTAAAAATCAAATAATGCTCATGGAAACTCTGGAAGGTTTKGCCTTTATACAGTAATATATTATAGAATGTATAGGTACAGTACTATTATAGTACAGGAATATTAACTCATTTATAAACCATGTTTTGTTTTTAATCCCTTTCAACCACCAAAGGGCTCTGTAGCATCAAACCTTAGAGTCATCAAAATAAATCCTGAGGTGGTGTTACTCCCAGAGCTCCATTCAATTCCAGCAAAATCACATATGTGGGAACATCACGGATTCATTTCATGATCTGTTAATGCCCAAAATCTTCTGGGCTGGCCTCCATTTGCCTCTGGGGGAATTCCTACAGGCCCTGACTGATGGGACACATGGGGCAGAATGAATCCTGGCTACAGTCTCATGTTTGGCTTTCTTTAAATAAAGTGTGTTAAAGTCAGCCAAAAATACCTGAAAAATTGTAACTTATGAGTTTCTCAAGGGCTTAAACAGTAAATAGGGACAGATTTTTGTAATTTTAATCTGAATATCCCACGTGAATTTCTAAATGGAGGAGAGAAGTGGAACATTTTTAACACTCAAACTTTGAACACTTTATTCRGAACACAAAAACTATTTTCCAGTTCTCAATATAAAACTGAGAACTATCTTGGCCTCAGGATAACCTGACAAGGGCTGTACTCTTATTAATGGGACACCAAGAAGTGAGATGCTAAGAAGCCAACAAGCTTAGTGGATCACCTTTCACAACAAAAAAACTGATGGGGTTGGGCTCACAGAAAGAGGAACACACAACAACCTGAATATCCAGTTAATAAATAAATACCCAGTTAGTAAAAAACTCAAATTAGTAAACACTAAGCCATGCTTTTGGTGCCCTCTTCTGCCCCAAAGCAGAAAGGAAGCTCTTCRTGCATAAACAAAAAATGCTACTTTCAAAACTTGAGAGTTCGTTATTTATTTTAACCTGATTTTTGTCCAGCTCACAGTTCTTGTACTCTTGTTCTCCCTGCTCTTGGAATGTGACAATCACAAAGCCAACGAATATGTTCATCATAAAGAAAGCAATAATGATGATATAGATGATGAAAAAAATGGAAATCTCCACTCTGTAGTTGTATACAGGTCCTACATTCTCGCCATTTGAATCAATGGCTTTGTATAGCAGCCTGAAAAACAAACAAAATTTTATCTTTATTACYATTAAAATGAGAAAATAGTAACATATGTCAACTCAGAGGACAGGTTTCAGAAATGGTCTGATGTTCACTTTATCTTGTTTTACTTACTGACATTGCTTGCAAGAATATAGAAATCAGAAGAATAACAGCAYACATTGTATATTCTTTTTTGAAAGAATTAAGGGAATGACCCAATGGTTGTAGTTTTCAATTTATTTCCCCAAATAAAATTTCCTCATTTAAGGAAATAGTGAGTCGCAGGTAACTCTTCCCAGGTTTCTCTATGAGTGTACCACTGCCCAATTTTTTAGGAAAAGGTTTATTTGAAGGCCTGAAACTTTTAAGTTAGCATTATTTAAGGGCCATTGATAGATAAGCACCTAAAATTGTTACTTCCATTAGAGTGGAGGAGTAGCCCCTTACAGCAAATGTAGCAAGAAGACTGGAAATCAAACAATGGAAAAACRTTCACCTTTTCTTACTTTTCCTGAAATATGGGATAAGGTCACAGATTCATGATAATAAAGTTTACTTCCTCCCTCTTTGTATCATCACTTGAACTGCTTTATTGCCTAAAAATATCTGGTAAATGATAGTTCTGGGAAATGAATTGTTCTGGGAAAGGCAATTCTCTTAACAGTGCTGTGAAAACATGGAGACCCCACTCACGCTGGCCAGCCTTCAAAGGTGGAGACTGTGAAAAGGGCCATCATAGCAGACAGRACATTATCAAAGTTGAAATCACTGTTTTGCCAGACCCTCTCTCTGACCATGGGACTGTCGACATCTCCATCCTTATAAACGATGTATATCCCTCTGTGGAAAAGAAACCATCATTAGTGAAATACTGAACTCACCTCAGAGTTACTCAGTGCACTATTCAAACCTGTTTCTTTTCCTTCCTTTTAATGCTTGTTTTATTTCCTTGCTAACCTGTGTTTTCTGGTGGGTTTGAGATGATAATTGCAAYTGACACAACCCTAAATGTCCTGAAACATGCCTGCCCATACACAGTTTAAGTTATTCAGAACAAAATGTGCCACATTCTTAGACCAAAGATCTCCTCACCGGCATTCCTCGGGGTTCTGTTTTGCCTCATCAGTGCACTTGTAGAATTTTCCCTACATACAAAAACAAAAAGCARTGACAAAATGCAGAATATGCAAAATGCACACAGTTAATAGCATGATTGGTTCAGGATGGGACCAGCCCAGCTCCAGCAGCAAACCACCAAGAATTCAATTCAGCTTTGCTTTTCTTGATGCACTGTAAGTTCTGAGAGTGTCTTACCTTGAACAGCTGCACCCCAATACAAGCAAACATGAATTGCAGCAGAGTTGTAACAATCATGATATTACCAATAGTTCTAATAGCCACAAACACACATTGAACAACGTGCTGGAAAGAAAGAGAAAAAAATGTTTCAATGCAATTTGTCACAGACTACTCACCATAAAAGTCTATTTCTGCATTCTCTTTTTAAATTACTATTTTTGTGTTGTCAGTATTATATCTAGTAYTGTAATTAGACTTGTTTTCTAAATTTGTCTGTAAGTCTGTTGACACAGACTCATCAACATCAACTGGATAAAAATGACATAGGCACTATAGTAAAAAACTAAAATGCACTGATGTGTTGGCTCATCACAGCCAAAATCTGCTCTCAGTGGCAGCTCCTGACACACAAACTGGAACTGGGGACGCAGCCTGGGCTCTTCAGGACCAGAGATGTTTAAGAATCAGGAACTGMTTTCTGTCCTTGCTCTGTGAACTTCTGCAGACAATTCTTCTTGTGCTAGAATTTTTAACCTGAGGCATAACTGAAGGATCAGGCCAACAGAAATAGAACTTAAAAATTAAAAATAAACACCTTAAGTCCTTTTGCTCTGTTTATTGCCCTTAGAGGCCTCAAGACTCTTAAAACTCTGAGAATCTTCACGACTGAGATAGCACTTGATCTAGGAGGAAAAAAAAAWTATAGTGTTACAGTTAAGGTAACTGATTGTATTACAGAATAACAATATCCTTGCAAATTCCTTAAACATGAAATTTGAAAAAAAACCCTCCAACTAGAACTCTCATGATACATACACAAGATTTTTTATTCTTTATGCCTCCTTTATTAATATTAGAAAATAGTATTGATCTCATAAATACCATAAGAATCATACTGATTTCTTGAGCAAATTTGGAATTAACAGCTCAGAAGCTCATCTAAGCCTACAATGGAGCAAAATAGTCCCCAAAGTATTTTTCAGTGTTGACAAGCTCTCTCGAAGACATTGTGTTAATCCTGTAAATCAATGAATCCTTCCATTTTCAACTAACTGGAGATCAGAAGATCTCAAATGATTCTCATTCTCTCTGTTTAAGTAGTTAGGACTGCATTTTGAGGAAATAGGAGTGAAAGGACACTGTGAAACTGAGAGCTCGTGCAATGGGTGTTGTGGTACCAGCAGAGCTCAGAGTGGGGGCAGTGGCTGACACTCCCCTGCTCTCTTTAACTCTTTCACAGATGATTTTTAATATGGAACAACCACCCTATGAATCAATAAGCACCTTTAGACTCTTTTACTGTGTTTAGCCTGACCCAAACAAAACCAAACAAACCCTCTTCACTACCACTCATAATCCTGAATAAAGTGTAACTTCACCCTCACAAACTGCCTAGTTCCACATCCCCACAGGTCAATGCTGAAAGACCAAGCTCACAAAATGAGATAGTAAATGTGACAATTGCTCTAGAGAAGGGATATAAACCCTCAGAAGCTCCAGGAAATGCCTGCTGTACCACCCAGTGTGCCATGGTGCTCTTCCCTGCTCTCTTGGCAATAGTGGAAGTAGTAATTTGTTCCCAGCCCGTGTTAGTAGTGAATTACAACACTCCCCATGCAAAGCACTGCCTCGTGCCAGCCCCATCCCTGAGTGCTGGCACTGCACACCCACACACCGTGGGGGAACAAAAGGAGCTCAAATGCTCATCCCAGTGTAAAGAGCAAAAATAAACCATTCACATTATAAGTATAGTACTTACTGAATCCCAAATGATACCAGAGAAACACCCACAACCAGCAAATCCAGCAAATTAAAATAATTCCTGCAGAAGGACCCTTTATGAAGGAATGCTCCAAAAGCTGTCATCTAAAAATAGAATTGTTACAYACTTAGTCTATATTTCAATTTATTCAAATTCACATTTAGGCTGTTTACAAGACACTTGCCTAGAGTGTGAAYGCATACAATACTATCTCACTTTCTAAAATCCCTTTAAGATACAAAACAGTCCTTCTATGTACATTAAATCTTTAATTTAAACCAGAAAAATTCTGCTCAAGCAACGTCAACAAATATGCTAATTGTTTCTAATGTCATCAAAGATACTATTTTGTGTAACAGATAAGGCTGAGATAACTAGACCGAATTAATTTTGCCTTTGTTAGAAAAATTGCTACAAAAAAAAAAAAAAACACTTAAGATTTCCGTGTTTACTAAACTGTAGGGTTCAGATTTTGACTACTAATTATTCATAGTGTCTCAAGAATTGAAGGAGCTGAAAATGTACTGCAAAGAGCTGAAAGTCAAAGCTGGTACAGAAGCAGGACAGGGCTGTCCTAAGGCAGCAYCACGAGGCTCTGGCTCATGGGGGACATGGGTGGGTACCCCAGAATAACCTGCAATAACCCATAGGTGTTTGGGGTTATGTGTAACCAAGGATCCCCAGATCTTACTTTTCTGTAGGGAGTGTCAAGTGTTGCTCTCCCTTTTGGACTTTCTCTTAACTTTTTGTTTTCTGTCCCTATTTAGATGGAAGAATAATTCAAAGTGGGTCTTGTGTGCATCATTTGAAGGTTTCATTAAGAGCCAGTGAGAGAGGATCTATTAATTAAGGCTGCAGTCGTATCTGGGCAGATGTTTTTGGATAATACAAGGCTGAATTTGACTCCTAAATCCAAGAATCAGACCTCCTACCATAACTGYAAGTTAAGTACAAGTTAAAAAATGCACAGAGAAACCCAATTAAACTAGCAGATGCACAGACTCACCAGCTGAATAGAATATTGCATGTCTTTCCATAGTTATGGATTAAGTCTGAAACACTGAAACTAAAAACTCATAACAAAAATAAGGATACCTCTGAAAAATACCTCATAGTGAGGTCAATCACATGGATTCTGTAACTTCAGCCACTTAAAAATAGCCTGAATATTTAGCTATTCCTTGTTTTTCACAGGYAAGAAAACTTAGAGAAAATATCCAATAATGACTGCAAACTGTAATTCTCTTACTTTCTATTTTGTTTCTTCAAGGTGTAGTGAAGAGATTTKATTTCATTCCCCCTCAGAGCAGATTACCAGAGCATTCAAGACTGGTTCACAAGGTAGAACAGAGCTCCAGGCAATGAGCACCTCAGTGCACTGCACTCCTGTTCAGGGTGCAGATGTTTCCAGCATGACAAACCATCACCACCACAAGAGGCTGCACCTTTGCAAAGGAAAGATGCATTGTTTTGGAAGCCCTCCTATTCCTATTCTCATGTTAAGCCYTCTTTTGTTATGATCAAAATACTAAATATTCCTCAAAGCTAGAAGAGTAAAAATGCTAAAGTTTTGACCTATGCTACGGCATGAGAGCTGTAACACAGTTATATTATAAAATTTCCATTAAATTCCCAGCTATTTGACTTACAGCTTTACAGAGTGCAGCTCAACTCATTAAAATCAGTGGGAGTTGGGCACTAAAATAACCCTGAATATCAAACTTACATCTATCTGCAACTACCCCTTAACACTGCAGCATGATACAAGCCGCACACAAAGTTTCATGTAAAGACTCACACAAAAATTCTGTCAATAATTGACTTTAAAATACAGGTGAGGTCCATATCTCCCCACCTTCCCATGGAGACTCATACTTCAACCACCATAAATCCCAATGCAAACATTTGCTGGAACTCTCTATAACAAGTTTAAATGCTGTGGGATTAGCCCAGACAGGCGAGGCTGAAAACACAAATCCCTCACCTGACCTTTGCTCTGATGTTTTCACCCTTCCCAAATCATCCAAACAGGATGATAAACTGGATTTCAGTGTCATGTAGGGATTATATAAGAGAAYTCCTAAATGCTTTAAGATGTTGCAGCTCTTCAGTTATTCATATCCTTGTTTATCCACTCAGCACTGTGTGATGTGGGAATCTTTGTGTCTGAGAGCAGTAAGAGCACAGGAGACTYCCCACACGCTGGGAGTTATTCTGGTTTAATGCTTGTTTTTGCTACAAGTTTCTTCACTACAGCTGATAACATTGCCTCTGGTTACCCTAATTTCAGTTTCATCTATTTTTTTTTTTGCCTGGAAATTAAAGAATACTATTGTTACCCCAGGTGGAATTTTCTCCTTGCAGAACACACTCCTTCTGTACAACTGGGATACTGTGGGAAGCACAGCAGAGGACAGGGAGGGCCCAGCCACAAAGCAAGCAAAGCCAGAGTCTGAGATGTTAGTAAAGCAGGCACTGTATCCCTGGCTCATGCCCTGACTGCCCACTACATTTCTATGGTACAKTTTGTTTTCCTTTACAGAGCTTCCTGGAGAAACCAGAGTCAGAAGCATCAATATTTTTGGCTATGATGTGGCTTCTCGTTTCCTTGAAACATTTTTATTTTACAACGCCAGATTTCAGCAGCCCAAGATCTAGAGTTTCCTGCTTGCC